ATTAGTTGACATTGGAATTGAGACATGAAGTTTAGTCAGGTAGGTAGTACTCACCAAGTAAAGTAGTGTAGTAGTATTTACTAGAATTTTGTTTATTATTTGTTTAAAAATGAATGTGAGTGAGATACAGGCCCTTAAAGTTTTCTTAATCGGAGGAAATACCGGTAGGTACGGCCCTGGCTTCAGCCTTCCGTCAGCTGTTCCCGCCAAACATCGTTTGTCCTAAAACATATCTTCCTAACATTATTCTAATGTATCAGCCCGCCTTCGGCGGGCAGGGGCATTAAACAAACTCGAGTCTGTCATACATCTACCTAACTAAACAATGACGTCATCAATGCATATTTGGCGAGAACAGCTGACGAAGGGCTGCAGCCAGGGCCGTACCAATCGAAATTTCCTCCGATTAAATAACTTTAGGAGCCTGTATCTCAAGCTACATTGGTTTCCGCACGGAATTAATGCTACCACACGATTCTACTTGGTGAGTACTACCTACCTGACTAAACTGCATGTCTCAATTCCAATGTCAACTAATGTAAAAAATTACCGCTTATTGTAATTATAAAGTAAATTTTTTATTCGTGACAGTGATAGACTACTGTCGAAACAATTGTGGAGTTTTCACAATAAATTACATAGAATGTTACCCAAATATTTTATTAGTAATATATTTTATTTTGATTTAATCATATCATTTTACAATAATTGCACCATTTAAATTTTAAATCGTAGCATCAATTAATTGTATAAACTTGTGTTTATAACTTATGGATTAAAATAAAAAAAAGAGGTTTTTTCTATTTTCCTTCTGATATCGTCTGTTCCTGATATCCGAGTCTGAAGCAGGCATATTTCTTTTACACCACAGGACCTGTCAAAAACACCACCCTCATTTACTTCACAGTGTTGTTCAGCTAACCCTTCAAAGGTCCTTAATAACAGGAACCACCAATGGCAGTTCTACGTTAACATTTCCATTACCAACTCTCTCCCTATTGGATGAAGTCCTTTGCACCCACCCCCGATCAATATTATACGTTAATAGGTCCTTTGATACGAAAAAGGCTCTAACATTACATTAACATAGGGATGACAATGTAATGGTATTAGGTACAGGATAATATAAAGGAATTTAAGAAGGGTGCTTAAGGCGCAATTGGGATTTAAAAGTGGATATATAAACAGGAAATCCCCTGGGATTAAATTTATTTAGTCATTGAATTTAACCGAGTGATGTGATAATTAAAATAATTCATATTATCTATA